TGTAAAAGCCAACCCCAGTTTTCTGCCATTCTCGAGAAAATGACTGATCATCAAGTTGGATTAGCTCAACCTTACGTGAACTGTCGTTTACATTTTGGAAATGACATGCCAAATAGTTAGCTTACTCTGTAATGGGATAAATCTCTAAATACACTAAACTAGGAATGTCCTCCCGTCTAAAATGTGAAGGAAATATCATTGACGTGTTTCTTAGCACGAGTGTAGCAAAAGATTTGACATGCTTTAATTAAAACCATTTTATTAACAATCTTAAAATGAAACATCCGTAACGGTCTTGTAAAGTCTGTGCTATTGTTTTCCACTTAAAAAAAAGGTGAGAAGCCTTGTTGAGCATTTAAATAAAGTGCGACATAACATGACTTTTGACATTATCGTACAAAAACCGTGTTTGTACTCATTCGTCATTGTTGTATCTCCTCTTTGTGTTCTGCATCTCTCATTCCTTTCCACGTGCAAGTAGATAGATGCACAAACCAATTCAAAACGCATGTACTGACATCCGCCCGGCGTAATAAGTGCGTTAAAGAGTCGAGCACCACCTCAACGACGCCACGCCATACATCGCATCGCATCGCACATAATACCTCCACTTTTTTCCAGGTAGCACATTTATTTCCATGCAATGTATCACATCCATTACACAATTTTCCTCCGCATGCACGCACGAATAACTACGGAACCAGTGAAACTGCGGGGAAACCAGCAGAAAAAAAACATAAAAATCCAGCAATGACAGATTGTAACACAAGCGTATTTTTACTCCAGCCTTTAATTTATTTCCTTCGTCGTGATGCAATTTGTTGATGCGAGGAGCAGAATGGATACTTGATGCCGGAAACTAAATCAACCAACACCCTCAAAAAATCTGTGGTGCGGTGACCAAACTGATTGTTGGAGGATCTATAAATTTAGGAAAGTTTAAAAGTCAAACCACTTATTTGCCTGGCTGTCATTTATTCAAGTTTCGTTACGTGGCATGGCATCCAGTCAAATCACACCATATTACTTACTTATGAGTATGGAAACCCAACCCCATAGATACATAAGCAGGCAAGAAGGCAGACAATATTCATCGTGGCGTAATTTAATAACCATCAAAGTAATCGAGTATGTACGGCACAGACGGACGAATTTATTCCTTTATCGGACAAGCAATAGGTCACGTGATGCAAGTACTTATTTAAAGCACACAATTGTGTACCCATCTTTCTGGTGGGTGGGTGGTATGCATTCTCACAAACCAACGTGAAGCAAATGTGACTGTGCTTGTCCTATAAATAAGTGCGAATGGACATCTCGGCCTTCGAACGTGAGACTGCGTCGCTTATCTTCCGCGTGAAAAGAAAGATTTATAATGCACCCATGGAGAAACTTAACAAACAGAGAGGCAGTTTGGGAGGGAGGCTGGTTGTGGAATTTCTCTGAGGAAATAACATTCTCCTCGAAAATTTAAAGGATTGTGAGACAAGAAAACCACAATTCAACAATGGTGTTGCGTTATTCATTCATACGCAGATAAGTAGATACACATTCTCATGAATTAGGTATGCATGCATCAAGAAGGAGCAAAAGCCGTCTTTAAAAATTTACTTCTATTTGACTCACAAAGCATGCAACCTTCATTTAAAGACGCAATCATCATGATTTGACTGGGCTACATGCAACACTGGATATTATGCATATCAATAACCAACAAGTAATTTTCTTGGTAATGGTAATTGACTACAAACCATTACCATCTGTGTAGGAAGGATTTTGCTGCTGCACCTTCTTCGTTAATCTCCACCTTCGTTGGTCTCCAGGAGCAGAATGTTGGTTACGTAATTGATGTAATTGCACTGTGGTGGTGGGTTATTCGGTTATTGTTATTACGCACTTATTGTTTTCTGTTTGGTGAACAGGATTGGAAAGCTAAAGACCAATTATAGCACTTCAATAATGACTCCAGAGTAGGATTCGTTGTTTGATGATATTGAAAATTAGCTAAGTTTTTGTTTACCATTTCATGCGTTAGAAAATTTTTAAACTAAAATTTCATGAATTTCTGAGCGTTTTTATTCTGATAAATGATAACTGCATAAAACTACCTAATAACTTATTTACTTGGCGTGTTGTACACTTATAAATTCCGAACATCAGCTGCATTTTCACATCCCGTGAGCAATAAATTGATTAGGAGAATCCATCTCTCTGCGAAATATTGCTTCTCTACTAATAAAATATTTCCGAGATTCGTCCAGGTTCTTACAGACACAGAACGGATTACGAAAACCAATATCCGAGCAATAAACTGTTCAATATTTGTTCACGCATTTCTCTCGCTCGTGTTCTATCCGATACAATAACAATAAAATTTATTACGCATTCGCACCAAAGTTAGAAATCCTCATGCATGCAATTAGCACTAACTGAGGATGAGATTGCTGAGTTTCCTATACGGTGTGGGCTTTGGGAAATAACAAACAATCGAAGAAATGAATGCATTTCCACGTCTTTCCATTTCATCATCTCTCGCCCAGTGTATTTCTATTTTGGAAAGTGCGTTTATCATAAAAGTGGCCACGTTTAGATTTGGCACACGCACAAAAACAAATAGAACCAACTGTTTTGTTCATCACATCAAATTCTCCCCGTCAGTCTGCCTCCGAACCGTGATTGATTCCCAAGCAAGCTGCTGGCACCCTAAAAATATGACCCCAGAATCCTATGCGAACGGTAAGCTAATGGACAACGTACACAGACCAAGGTTCGTGAACAGAATAAAAATGTGAGACTTGCAGCAATAACAAAATACTGGTAATCCTGTGCCAAGTACGATTTGTGTGGGCTACTGGAAATCTCATTTATTTTATGGGACTTATGTACAACCAATTTTAGAGTTAATGCATAAATATTGTAATTATATTTTCCCACGAAAGGAGTTTATAGACAATTTTCTGTAAAGATAACTAATTTAAAACAATGCAATTCAATCTTAACCACAATTCTAATACTTGTAATTCCCAATTATGTAAATTTGTCTGATTGCATAATACGAATGAATTGCTAGGTACGTTACTTCACTCTTTCCTTAATCTGGCAGCTAATTCGCAGAGTAAACAGAATCCAATCATTCTTATGAGTAATGAATCACTAGGTCCAGCTCCATCCAAGATAAGTAATCAACCCAATTGGAGTAATTGGAACGTTGTGGTAGGCAAAGAATTAGTGTCTCATTTTTCTTGGTGAAAATTAGTCTGAAATTGTTAACTGATTATGAATGACCTTTGTATCTTTAAAAAATCGTTCATTTTCTGTTTAAGAAAATATATACTACGCTTTACAAGAAGTAAAAAAACTTGACTTTTAAAAATGATAAAACAAATCCCTCGGGTGTAGTTTACAGTCAAGATGAAAAGTACGCTTTATTCACGGCATGGAAAAGTAGCAGGTCTCAACTTTCTTCTCATTTTCAGTTTGTTTCACTAAAGTTCTGCTCTCTCCCTCGAGGTCGTCAATGTTGCGAAGAAAACTCAAAATTCTTAGTGGCAATTGACCTTAGAGAAAATGAAAATAATACGACTTTCGAAGCAGTAGTAGATCACCTTCCTTTTGAATCATCAAGGTTACAGATCGCTGACTGGATACATACATCTGAAACTGCTTTGTCCATTAATTTCCCCCTCAGGACAAATTACAAAATGTCAAATATTTACATTTCCGCAGAAAGATTCCAACTTTTTCATCCGGTCAAGGAAAAATGTTTTCCTATTCAAAATTGTAGCATTTAATTTCAAGTGATACTCCCTCCAAGTCAGTGTATGAGTTGGTTGTTAATTGCCAAAAATTTGGCAAAGACAAACTTTCGAATGCTTTGTACATACGTAGGTGCGCAATATTTTTCAATTAATATAAGCACGTACGTATGTATGCATGAGTGTGAAATGTAATGAAATAATAAGCAGCATGCCATCTTATCCCAGTTAGAAGGTGTTGTAGAAAATAAGGATTTTTTTCTAGTTAATTGCTTCGTGGCTACAATTACTTGTAATAATAATAAGAATACCTTTTTGAAGAGGGTTATCATTAGGAGCTCGTATTTTTACAAATTTTCTGCGTTTTCCACGCGGAACAAAAAATACGACTGAACATACATATTTAACTTTTCCGTACTTGGTTACTAAAATTTTTGTTGTTTTACATGTGGTTTCAATAACAAGCTGCGAAGCAGCCAACATTAAAACAGCTTGATTCATTCATGTGAATGATATGATGAAACTGACTGGAAATTCTGTGCAGAATATTTTTTTCTTCTTCCTTTGACTCTTATTTCATATGTGCTCGTACATACAAACTTTTTGAAATATGTAATTCTGAGGTCAACCCAGAGCTCTTATCTAGATCACGACTTGCAAGTACCTTTCCACTGTTGGAAGGGAAACTGCGTCACTAAAAATAGTAATTATCCTCAACTTTGCCCCTAATAATAATAACAATTGAAGGGCAAAAGTGGTTACAGACGTGTGCTCGGCTTCTTCCTCATCATTTCCATTCCACATTTATGTACATATTTCTCCCTGCGTATTCTGGTAGCAGATATGGGATTGCAGAAAAAGCCAGAAAAATATGAAGAGCTATCTGTTCATCTAATATTTCATGCTTGTGAGTCTCAATTTCTCCCAGAAAGATTGGCAGATGATAATCTGTGCATGCATGTAATGCTCACTCAGCCCTTGTTTCATAATGCTCATCATTCTCCTGCTGCTTTCAACCGAATTGACACTGAGTAATCTCTTGTCCAACCAAAAGTGTATCATTGTTGTGCAAGAAGAAGACCTCGTTCTTCCTTCCTTCCGTCGAATATAGTTGTTCGTTTCGCCATTTTAACCATGTAAATGAGCCTGTTCAACTTAATAGTGGATAATGTTGTCAAAATAAAAATTATTTCTGGCTGGTTTTTCAAACTACAGCAGCTTCACGTCCTGGACGTTGACTCGGAATGCTGTAAAATATTTTTATTCATTTATTTATTTATGTTTGGCATTGGCATCTTGATCTAGAAACAGTGTACGACTCGAGGTGGATGCATTCTAAATTCTGAGTTGACCAAGGTCTAAATAAAAAAAGAAAGGGTAGAAAAAATTTCAAATTATTGCAGCTACGATTAAATTAGAGATGTTTTCTTAGCCTTGGGCATTTACGCAAAGTAGTGCGAAATAGGATTAGGTTATTGCGATATAATATGTGACAAATCAATCCGCAGTGGCATTGTGTTTAGGCAACTTACACAATTAAAAGTCTGGTACAAACTTTGTAGCCAAAACAGACGAATTTCACACGGCCATTCTTCATCAAACTACAAGTTTAATTTTAAAAAAATAATGAAACTCGAGTAAGAACTTTATTTCCTGTGACAAAATCAAGCCATAATTTATGAATTTATGTATTCACTCACGGGCTTGGTGTCAGATAAGTTGAAACAGGGATGATGTGGACGAAAATCCAAAGCTTCAAGACCAGGGCAATTGCTACCAAAAAAGTTTCAAACGAGAATAAAACTGATTTATAAATTTAGCAGATTTATAGCATGATGTTCGTACCTTAAGGTTAAGTTTTCTTCCATATTGTTGGAATACAACTAACTACAAGTCAGTGAGGGTTGAAACTGACAGTGAGTTGTGGTAGCAAACTGGGACAAGTAACATGTTTGATTACACTTTACCTGGAACGTCTGAGCATTATTAAGGTATTGAATTACACTTCCGAAGGGACTGTCTGGGCATTAAAACGTGAGTACATACATACGTGTTTCTTATGCAAAACTGGGTTTCCTTTTAATGCACACAGACCATCATAATCTACTATCGAAACGAGGATTATTTTATTATATCCATGAAAGCAGTTTATTACGCCTAGAGTTATGATATTGTGTAAATGTTTAGCTTGTGATCATACTTGTAAATAACATGGAGAAAATGAATGATGCCATTAAATACAACAATTATGGCATGGCGATGAAATTTGTCGCCATGCCATGCCTACACTACAGCTGGTGGGAGCTGTTGGCCGCCCTGAGAAGGGCGTTTCCAGAGCACACGACGAGGACGTCGCTCCCTCGTGCTCCACGCGGGCGGGCCTCCACTCTCGCCCGAAGGCGTCCGCGGACGTCTACCTCCCGCCGACCGAGAAAACCCTGCCCACGTCGCCGCCTCTGCAACCGCGTTCCCCATGGGGGCTCGTCTTACCCTCGCCTTACGAGGTGGGAGCGCACCCGTAAATCGGCCCCCATTAAGGCTTCGAACTCGGGAACCCGGCCAGCCCCAAGGGGAGTGCAAGCTAAGGAGCCCGGTCACCCAAGGGTTGGAGGTAGAGAGCCCCCTCACTTGCCTAGCGCCACCACGCATTTTGGCAAGCCCCGCCGGCTCCCCACCCGGTGAGTCTGCTTGGTGGGAGGAGCATTGGAGGGGGACTTCCCGTAAGGCTCTCCCCTTACAGTATTGCTCCCCCGGACCACCCCTCCAACGGGAAGAGAGTCGGATCACCGGCCGAAGCCAGTGGTGGGCCCGACTCCCCAGAGAGGCAGGGCAGCCCAAGGGCGCAGCTGCAATGGGGAGCTCACCCAGGGACATGTCCGTCCCCCGCGAGCTCCGCCCGCAGACTGACAAAAAATTCTCGTTCAGCTCCTTTTATACCCTCTGAAGGGCGGTGAAAGTGGAGAAAGTCCTGCCATACCTATCTATGTTATAGTCAAAGGCATGTGTTATACGGCTGACACGCGCATAACCGCTTATCACACTAGTTACCTACACATGTGTCATAGCTATACGCGTATAGCCACTTATCATACACACGTAGGTATCACACATACATATGTTATAGGCTATAGCATGTGAGATAAGCCGCTATAACTTATAGCCGCTTATCTCACGTGCTTACAGTTATTTACGAATAATTCAATTAATTATTTCGATGTCGTTAGCGTTGGGTAAATGTCGATTCTTATAGTTTTTTGGTCGCTGATATCGAATCTGAGGTCAGTTTTTCGATTGGAACATCGTGAGAAGGGGCACATGGCCAATTAATTATGTTAAAATAACACAAAATTATTAAGCTACAAATATAAGGCTGGATTTTGTATGAATAAATTAGAAGTTGCCATAAATTCATGTAACTCTTGTCAATCAGAGCGTGCCATCACTGCATCTGCCACCTTGTGATCATTTGTGTAATAATCTACATGCCAACTGCATCTTCTTCGCCTCCTCGTCCACAAGTTAGTCACCATTTTGTTCTTTTCTCCTCACCGAAGAAGAAACCTGCCTCTAGTAAGGTTTGCTAGGGAAAGGAAGAAAATAATACGTGTAGGTAGGTCAAAAGGTCAAGTAACTAGATTTAAATTTGTAACTAGAGTTAAATATCGCCGTTTCTTTTCTTTCTTGTTGTAGGAACCAGTACGACGACTGATTACGCCGAAATGTTGCTTGATAAGGATTTGGACACTCTTAAGGACAAATGGTGCTATCCGGATCGTCCATTGATGATCAATCAGAAGTACTCGTACAAATTGCTGAGTGCTATTAGCCCGGACAATTTTTCACTCATCGTTAATGATTGGACGTCCCTGTTAATTCAAAGGCAGATTAAGGAGGCAATGAATCTTCATTTGCAAGACGTTGCCGGTTGTGCACCGGTTGACGTTGCCTGTCTGAAGGACGGACTTCCTGTAACTGTCAAATTTAAGGATGGGTATGATATGATAATGAATGGGATTTATGTCATTGCTAATAAGCATACGATTACGATAAAATAATAAATCTATGTTTGTATATTTCATAGCAAACTTCGCCGAGCAGAGGTCAATTTAGTTAACGAGAAGGGCGTGAACGTGTACATGGTGGATTCAGGAGTAGATATTTTGGTTTCGGCTGATTCCATATATCCGTCGTCAACTGAACTTTTGCGACTTCCGAAGCTTTCGCTAATGTGCCGTCTTGCTCAAGTTGTCCCATTTGAGGAAAAGAAAAAGTGGAAAAAGTATGACTACAAGTCGCTGTTCCAAGGAAAGAATACGTCAGTATTCGAAATTTCTTTCATTGACCGTGAGGTCTCTGAAGTTCGGCTCACGTGTGACAAGAAGGATGTTGGCTTCGAAATGGTTATGAATTTGGGTTTAGCTGATTTTGTTCCCCTAATTACTTATGGCACCAATGATGAAGGTAAAATATTTTTCCAAATTCATTGACATAATATTGATCGACCTCAATTAATAGTGCTAATAAATCAGATTGTGCGATGATATTACTATTGGATGAGATATGTATATATTAATATATTGTAATTTATTTTACATAACTTAGGGCCACAAATGCTTGGAAAGTATCCTCGATATGATTACAGTGATTGGATTGGACAGAAAATCGGAGTCTTTGGGACAAAGATTTCAAAAGTGGGATCGAATTTCAAAGTTCATCTTCAGCTGCATCCATCTATAATGGAAGCTGTTGACGCTGGATTGTTGAAGTATGACTCTACTTCCAACGACGTAAGTAATATTACTCCCTAGTCACTACGAACTTCGTAGTACGAACGAAGTGAAGAATATGCTTAACTTAATACACTATATAAATAAGTTATTCTATTCGTACCTTCTTTAAGAAGGCTTCTTATCACTCGATTATTTGTGTTATTAATAATGTGCACTGTTCTTAAAGGCCAAGGACTTTTCAAAGGATATTGGCGATGCTGTTCTTGTTGCGTATGGCGAGGACAAAATGAATTATCGAGCTACCATTTTTCAAAAGTCAAGGGATGGGTACTTGGTGAAACTGGTAGACTACGGAGACTTTGTCAATGTTCAGGAAAAAGATGTAAGTTTTAATTTTAGAAACTAATCACTCTAATAGTTCATGTCGCATTAAATCGTATCGTCACAAATTATGTTTTAGATGCTCAAAATTCCGAATGAACTCGTTGAGATTCCTGAAGCAGCCACACCCTGCTACTTAGCAGGACTAATGGCAGCGGACCCGAACAAACTTCCTTCAGATGAAGCCATCAAGGGCAAATTGATGGAGTTGATTATTGAAAAAAATCTGGAATGTTACATAGGCCTTGTAGGCTTCATTGATGGCGTTGATCCCCGAGAATTTCGAAAGTAAGATAATGAAGTAGAGATTTTTAATTATTTAAACTGCGTTTTAACCTTCACACTTGTCTCTCTCCCTCCAGATGTATAGTGACCCTCGCCTCAGAAGAAGGGAAACCACTTCTTCGTAATTTTGGCCTAAGAAAGCCAAACCTCTGCAAGTACTATACAAACGTTGACCACGAATTTCCAATGATCGACCAGGATCTTGCGAAGGAACTATTTAGTGGCCCCTCAGCATACATGTCGGGAGTTCAATATGAAGGAGTTGTGTCTTTCATAGAAAATTATGACTCGATTTGTATTCAGCTAGAAGGTGACGACCATCGAGCAGATGGACTAAGTGAAGAACTTACCGAATTTTTGAATAACTGGAATAATGTCCCTCAACTGGATCCTTCATCTCTGATCAATGGAACTTACGTCGCGGCCAGGCAAAACATTGAAGATGATTTAAGCTACTATAGAGCTAAAATTTTGGAGGCTTGTCCAGACAAAGACGAGTACAAAGTAGTTTTTCTGGATTATGGAAATTATGATGTCATTACTTCTACAATGATAAAGCCCCTCCCGTCTTACTTTTGCAAGGACAAAGCGTTTGCTCTTAAAGTCTCAATCCCAATCAAAGTACTCCCCGGTGTAAGTGAAGACGAGGTCTATCACTATATTGAAAAGTTTACAGAGGAACAAGAGCTTACCGTGTATCTCAAAACTGTGGACAACTTAATTTATGCTTGGACCATACGTATGGATAAGATGCTTACAACATCTTTGATCGAGGGCAAGAATCCCCTCGTCAAGCTGAGCATGCCAGCCCCTACTGTTCCATTGAAAAATTAAAGTAAACTAAAAAGCGTTAGTTATTTAGTACTTTATGAATGATGATGTTTTTATTTTCCAACTTGTTTATTATGCAATATCTATGCTTTGAATATTTACTAAAGAAGTTTTACCAAAACTAAACCCAAATTATATAATTTATGAGTATACCTAGCCAAAATTAAAAATTTTCTTATGGATTTGCGTACTTAACTACATATCACGTACAAATCACAACTAACAACTTATTCCTATTCATTTTTACAGTGCCAACCACAAAATGTAACTTTAGCATGAAAATGTTTCAGTGACCTGACTTGAAAATGGTCAAGTCAGTTAATTATTTCAACATTGTTGAGGTTGAGAAAATGTCGATTCTATAGTTTTTTCTTAGGTGAAGGGAAAGTAACCATAAAGTGATCATGTTAAAAGATCACCATGGTTACGGCGAAGCCTAGGTATGCATTCAGCTGCAACTTTGAGAAACTCCCACTGAGATTTCTCCCCAACCGTTCGTTGTACGGAAAACATGTTGAAACAAAATAGTTAGAGAATTCGGTTCTACAGTGACATTTTTCTTATTTTTTCCAAATTCTAATTCCTTCAGGTAGAAAGTCCGATGGGTAAAGTTGCAAATCGATTTCTTGGCATCAAGGAAGTATTTCCCACCGGGGGCTTGCCATTTTTACTATTCTCCTGGATAATACGCACATTTTAAGCCTTTATTCAACTTAATCGGATGAAAACTCAAGGGATTAGAGCTTTTTGAAATATTGTCATTAAGCAACCTATTTACGTATATATACAGGTGTTAGGTTACTGGTTGCTAACGTATGCTAATAATGTCAGGTTTATTTTTTATTAGCATTACTATTTCAACATATGTAACATTCCTTAAAATTCTGAAAAATTAAGCATTGATCAAATTCCATGAAATACAATGTTACTGATCCACCCACTCGGGATTAAATTAGTATGCCACGCATTCACCCATGGGAAAGTTCACAACGTTTAAGAATTGATATTATGATTTTATACATTTAAGTTCACACTTCACTGAAAATAATTAAATAAATAAATTTTAAAAAACAAACTTAGGTGAAGGACGCGCTTAAAATATTAAAACAAGAAGCATTACAAAATGTTACAATATCGTTTAATATTTTGTAACTTTTCTTCACCGTG